AAAAACTGAAAGACTGAAACTTTTTCTTTCAGAAACCTGTTAAATCAGATTTCTACATACATGATTGTATTCTTTACAGAATTTACGAATGTTATCACTCCATATATTAAAAACACGCATTAAAGCATCATTATGAGTTCAATGTATGAGAATATCAATAATCTCTGTTTTTACATTATTAACCAAACCGAAAAAAGGCTTAAGGATTTTCCATCTTTGCACTCACCTTTAAAAATATTATAATAGTAATGCTTAATGCTTTAACATGGTTATTTTGATTCTATCTTGCTGTTTTATTTAAATAATGCTAACCTCTATTAATCAATCGCTCATGTGGAAGACAGAGAAAATGACATGATATATATTTTGAAAAGCACACAACCTTTTAACTTGACTAATTCCATGTGATATATTGGGATTTCAGATGCAGATGAGATACATGATGTTACCTACTCTGTGATTGAGCTTAAAAATGTTGGAAATAAGAGTGAGTATGTTGAACAAATTGAATATAGTTTAGAATATAGAAATATTTTTGCAATTTAAAAAACAAAAAAACATATTTTTTTCAAATTTTTCTATATGATTATCTAAACAGGGAAGCATCATAAATCACAGGAGGAACATACCATTTACTCTGAGGTGAAGGCGGGAGCTACAGGTATAGTCACAAGTCTCTTTCTTGCATGTAGTTTCATGTCTGCTAGTCAGTTACCAAGCTAAACCATGTCATACTATTACTAGAAATCACAGTAGTTGATAAGTAATTGTAAAATAACTATTAAAGTCACTAGTTTTATAAGTAAATATATTTCTAAAGGTACCATTGAGATGAAATTCTCATCTGATGTCAGGAACAACCCAGCAAATCCCCACATGCAAAGAAAATAAATCATAGATGTCCAGAAATTAAGTTACGTGGAAAAATGAGAAATGACACAGGGAAAAAGTATTGGACACAAGGCAAAAGAGTGGAGCAAAAAGTCATGACACCAGCTGTAATGTATCAGTAATCAGAAAGCAATCCTGTCTCTTATTGAAAATTAATATCAGTTGGTTCAGTCCCAACTGATGTACTATAAAAACGTGTCTCATTGCCAAGGTGCCATACCTATGATGGGTTGAACCATTGAGGTCTCTTAAGACTTTTGAAACCATATTGTTGCAAGAGATACTGATGACATTGATTACAGAAGAATTCGTAAAATACTGAAAGTTCCAGTGAGCACTGACCAAAGTCCAACTAAAAATCTATGGAAAGAACTAAAGCTCAGAGTTCGTAAAAGGGGACTATAAAGTCTTTGGGATTAGAAGACTGTTTGTGTGGAAAAAATGGATCAAAATCAAACCTGAGCAATGCATGCGACTAGTTTCTCCATACAGAAGTCATTTTGAAGCTGTCATCACGAAAGGCTTTTTGATTAATTTTAATTAAATATTAGTAACCATGTTCAGTACTTTTCCGTGTGTCATTTCTCATTATTACACATAATTTATGGACGTCTACAGTTTGATTTCTTTGCATGTAGGTTGGATGGGTTATTATGACATGTGGTGAGAATTTAATGCCAATAATAACTTTAGAAATATATTTAGTTCAAAAATTGTTGACACGTTCAATACTTATTGTACCTACTGTATTCATCCCATGTTAAATGGCTTTCTCCCCTTTATTCTATTCATATTCTTAACATTATGTCCTCAGATCTAGGAGGGACTATTATGTTTTTGCGTTATGTTTGCAGGTTGTACATTAGGGCTGCCACAAACAATTATTTTGATAGTCGACTAGTCACGATTATTTTTGCGATTAGTTGACTAATCAGATCATGCATCCATTGGACATAAAACGTACAGCTTATTGTAACCAGCATGCATCTGCTCTCATATAACTATAATTAGCTTACAGCTTGAAGTGTTGTATGTACAGTATGTGCTATCTAAAAATAAAGACAAGATGATAGTTTATTAAACTTTTAATGAAATTTGCAGATTATCTCAGTGGAGTTTAATAAACTCAGCCGTCTGCTCCTTGGCTATCTAAAATATAACAGGACACTGGAGTAAATTCTCGACCATTCACACTTCTGTTTAATCAGTTTTCTGTTTGACGTTTATTCAGCTATGTGAAAACTAGAACTTTAACCCTTTAGAGCCGATCGGAGCGGACACGCTCCATTTTGCGTAACTATTTTTAAATCCTGGTAGCACTGCAACCACGTAAGCTAGCGCAAA